GTAGCAGCAGAAGCAACAGAGGGCAAGAGGGGGGAGGGGGAACACCCCTCAAAGACGGGGGTGCGAGGGTCACCACGAAAGGCTCCTACAGCGACTATGCTTTTCTCTGCTGCTAGGAGGCCCTTCTCGAGGAGGTCAACGGTGAGTGTGGTGGGGCAGACTGAGAGGAAGTGGTCCCTGACTACGCAAAGAGAGTCAGGGAGCCGGGTGACTATGTACTAGAGGGTGATGTACATGGGGTGGGGTTCTTGGCGAAGAACTTAGCAGGAAGCGCAGCGCGGTAGCGAGTGTCACTAGTGCGGAGGTGCGTAATGAGGTCAGCGACTGTAGGAAAGGCAGCAAGGTCAGGGAAGAGGTACGGTAGCATGAGGCGGCTCAGTGCAGCAGTGGCAAGGGAAGAGTAGCGTGCAACTACAGCGTCGTACAAGGTTTGAGCACTCTTGTACTGGCTAAAGTGTGCACGCTCAGTGGTCGTGACTGGCGACGCACAGCAAGGCGAGCAGCAGCATCGCGTGTGGCCCACTGTGAGCGAACAGTGCTGTCAGGAGTAGCAGGCGGGGCAGGAGAGACACCAGAGGTGAGATCGAACAGAGAGAGTCCGTCTGCCCTATCGCACTGAAGAAACAGCTCGAGGTCATCGACCCAGACCTCAAAGTCAACAGCACGGCCCTCAGCATCAAAAGTAAGGACACTTGAGGTAGCCATGGCTGATGAGAAACGAGAATGATTGAACTATGAATGAGTTGGGTACAAGTACTAGCCCTAATTGGGTTGTACCCCGTATGGGCTACCCCACTACAGCCTACACAAATGTTTATGCTATAATGTTCTGACACACCCCCATAGGCAAAGTGGGGGAGAACAAGTGGTCACAAGACCAGTCAAGCAAAGTAAAGCAAGCTCAGGGTGGATCACAAGGTCACCATACAATCCGAGCACAAGAGTAAGGACACAAGGCCAGTTCACATGCAAGAACATATATATAAAGGTAAACAAGCAAGTGCAGGTATAGAAATAGTATAGTACAAACAAGATCAAGAAGTGAGCAAGTGAGGCCAGGTAGGCACAAGACCTAGCAAAGTACAGAAGCGCTGATGATCACAAGGCGGAAGGGCCTTGGTAAAGATATCAGCAGTGTTGGCCTCAGAGGCCACGTAGGTGAGACGGAGCTGACCACGCTGCTGCAGCTCATGAGCCAGGAAGTAGCGGGGAGCAATGTGCTTCGTTCTGTGCTCCAGTCTGTGCTCCCAACACAAGGCCAGCATGGCCTTGTTGTCTACGTACAGAACTGGAGGAGAACGAGGCGGCTCTCCTAGGTCAGTCAGCAAGTAGGTGAGCCACCGTAGCTCCTATGCAGCCATGGCCCCTGCGTAGATCTCAGCCTCACAGCTAGAGCTGAGAACAGAAGACGAGCGGGTAGACCGCCACGAAACAGAGCCAGAGCCAAGGCTGAAGGTGTAACCCTGTGACGACCGCTGCAGAGCCTGGTTGTCAGCCCAAGAAGCGGCAGCGTGACCTGTGAGGACCACTCGACGTCGCCCTCTAAGCACTAGCCCCATGCCCGACGTACTGCACACGTAGAGCAACACCCTCTTCGCTGCAGCCATGTGCTCTGGTCGGTGTCTCCCAGGAGCAACATAGCGTGCCAAGATGCTAAGAGGGTATGCAAGGTCAGGTCGTGTGCAGGTCATCAGGTACATGAGGCAGCCAACAAGCTCTGGGTACGGGCCACTCGACTCTACGGACTCATCCGAAGGCAGAGCTGAGAGCGAGTGGCGAGTAGACAGAGGAGTGACCTGAGGCGAGGAGTACGTGAAGATGAAGCACTGAAGGACCGGCTTCGCCATGTGTGACTGAGTCAGCGTAATGGTGCACTGTGCTCTTTCCCGGATGATCTACAAGCCAAGGTAGCTGCGCAGTTCACCCAGGTCTATGCACGTGTGTCTCTTCTGCAGCTCCGACTTCACGTGGGCAAGACCATGTCGTCGACGTACACGAGGATGTAGAACGGCGGCAGTGAGCTGTCGGTGCGCAGAAACAGCGACGGGTCGGCTGTAGAAGGAGCAAACCCAAGAGCCGCAAGTGTAGTCCTCGGTGTGTCGTGCCACTCACGGGGCGCCTGGCGGAGACCGTAGACTGGCCGCCGGAGGCTCCACTGGGTACCAGGAGGAAACGACCAAGTGAAGCCAGGAGGGAGGCGCAGTCAGATCTCCTCGTGCAGGCTGCCCTGCAGGAAAGCTGTGCTGAAGTCAAGAGAGTGAAGCTCGTAGTCACGCTAAGCGGCTATGTGCAGCAGCACCCGAAGAGTGGTCATCTTCAGGGTGGGAGAGAAGGTCTAAAAGTAGTCAACACCCTGCCGCTGACTGAAGCCTCGAGCCACATAACGCGCCTTGAAGCACGCGGAGAACCCGGCGGCCGCTTCACCCTGAAAATCCACATGCCACTAACGATGTTCGCCCCAGGTGGGGTAACCTCGTCGAGGTAGGTGCCAATTGACTTCCACGAAGCCATCTCTGCGTCCATGGCTGACTGCCACTGAGAGGAGTAGGGACCGTCGATCGCCTCAGCGTACGATCGAGGAGTCGGGATGTGTGGTGCATCCGGGTCTCCCTCAGGGGCAATCAGCGTGGACACGAGATGGGGCAAAGCAGCAGCAAAGCACTGGAACTCCTCCTGCCTGTCCTCAAGGACGTCCGTGCTAAGAGCACACTCACCCCCGACAGACGGAGGACAGACAGACTCAGAATCAGCAACGAGACTGGCAGCGTAGCCTAGACGACAGCGAGCAGCGAAGTCGACAAGCTCAGCAACTAGGGCAGACGCAGCAGTGGAGTCAAAGGAAGGGTCAGTGACAACAGTAGCAAGAAGGCGCGTGACCGAAGGACTAGCAGCACGAAGGGAGTCAGACTCCAGGTCAGCGAGAACAAGAAGAGAGGACTCTGGAGGAGACGCCAACGGGACACGAAGAGGAGCAATGGAAGGAAGCAGCGCCATCTAGTGTGTGCCGGGGACTGTAGGAGGACACGGACGCGCAGTACGACCACTAGTGCGAGCAGCACGAACAGGCGACGCAGGACGTGACGCAAGCTCACAACGCTCAGCAAGACCTCCAGTAGGACCAGTGTAGGGAGAAGGAGCAGGTAGAGGGGAGGCGGGCTGTAACTGTGACTGCGACTGGACAGGCTGTGGACACTCTAAGGGAGGAGCAGGACCAGTAGAGGGCGGGAGACCAAGAGCCTGCTCCAGGAGCGGAACGAAGTACGGCCGCGGCCGCGCAGCGCCTCCACAACCAGCAAGGACAGCACCAGTACCCCCAGAGGCAGCACCTGCGCCAGCATCACCTCCAGCTCCAACAGCGCCAACTCCAGCACCCTCAGAAGCACTAGCGCCAGCAGCACGGCCAGCGCCAACACCCCCAGCAGCTCCAGCTCCAACAGCTCCAGCTCCAACAGCACCAGCTCCAGTAGGACCGTCAACTCCAGCAGCCTCAGTAGCACCCCCACACGCACCAGGGCCGGTAGAAACACCAGCGCCAACACCCCCTGCAGCTCCATCTTCAGCAGCACGAGCACAACCAGCAGCTCCAGCAGGACCAACTCCGATAGCCCCCGCAACACCCCCATTCTCAGCAGCACGTCTCCAACGGCGGGCAAAGCACTCGCGCAGCTCCGAGCCGAAACTCTCTCTGAGCTGGAGACGAGCTGCGCGGATCCAGTCGATCAACACCTCAGTGACATCACCCCTCATGCGCATGGGGAAGACTGTGGTGTAACGCGAGTAGTCATCAACCACCAGCAGAAAGTACCGCTCTCGCCCCTGCCCACTGACGCGGGCTGGGCCCAACACGTCCATGTGGAGAGTCTGCAGCGGAGCCTCTCTCGGAGGAGACTCAGAGGAGTGAGGGGCGGCGCGCTGTCGCCCCTCGACGCAGGGGACGCAGGTAGGGCCAGGCCCCGGAGGAAGGGGAGGGAGAGACCGAGGGAGACCAGAGACAAGGACACGGGAGGCCATGCCTCGGAGACGAGGCAAGGAGGGGTGACCAAGGCGGTGGTGCCAAAGGAGAGTCTGGTGGGACAGCAGACGATACGAGCAGGGAGCACACTCAAGACTAGACCTGGACGCCGCAGCAAACACCTGACTCGACGCAGCTACCTGGGCAGACTCAGTAGCAGGAGGAGACTCAGTAGTAAGGGTGTACAGGCTCGACCCTGGCCGACGGGTGAACGTGGCCAAGTGTCGGCTTGTCCGAGCACACGTGCAGTGGGTCACTCGCTGACTCGCAGGAGTGAACTGGTCAACCCCCTTATCCTGTGGGTCCGCTCCACTCACCAAGTTCGTAGAGAACGAGGGGAAGTAGAGACCAGACAGGGTGCCAGAGGGGGCTGCCGGGCATGGTAGGACAGTGGAGAAGCTAGCAAGGACAGGACCCCCAGAGGGGTCTGCCAGGGAGACTGCAACCGGGCGACTGAGCGGCGTAAGAGTGGTGCGGTCTCGAAAGAAGGAGCGGGACGCACCCGAGTCCAGGGTGAAGGTGTGGAAGGCCTGAGCCGACGTAGTACCTAAGAGAGACGACTCACCAGCACCTGGGGCAGCAGACGCACTGGCACCTGGGGCAGCAGAAGCACTAGCACCTAGAGCAGTAGCCTCACCAGCACCTAGAGCAGCGGCCTCAATGCCCGGATCAGGCGGTACACACAGGTAACAGTCACCCGCAACACTAGTATCAACAGCATACATGGCAGCAAGAATAGCATCAAAATCAAGATCAAAGATAGCAACCCCGGCCTTAGACAGATCTCCCCAGCGAGGGATCTCTGAAGCCTCAGGGAACTGGCGACGCCACGCGTCCGTCAGGCGACCAAAGCAGCGCTGGGTGGAGTGCGGGCCTCCGCACTGCTCACCAGCTCGGTCGCCGGTACGGAGGACGTAAGCGCAGGGACCAAAGCCCCCACCACGCTGACGCGCAGCGTACCACCCACGAAGCTGCTGAGGGGACAGGGTCACACCACTCTGCTGCTGCTGGCGCGGACCACCACCTGAGCCACTCCTCTGCGCAGAGTCGCGACCCGCTCCACCACCGCCGCCGTCGCCTCCGCCGCCTCCTCCACCTCCGCCTCCTCCGCCACCTCCGCCGCCTCCGCTCCCTCCGCCACCTCCACCGCCTCCGCCTCCTCCACTGCTGCCGCCGCCGCCGCCACCCCCGGCACCACTCCCACCACCACCCCCACTCCCTCCAGTGCCTCCACCACCACCTCCACCGCCCCCTCCAGCCCCTCCAATGCCCTTGCCCCCCTTGCCCCTGCCGGTGCGGCGTTTCCTACTCGGGGCAGACGCAGCGCCGACCGACTCGAAACCAACGAGGTCGGCCGCAGCAGCAGAGGCAACAGAGGGCAAGAGGGGGGAGGGAGAACACCCCTCAAAGACGGGGGTGTGAGGGTCACCACGAGAGGCTCCTACAGCGACTATGCTCTTCTCTATCGCTAGGAGGGCCTTCTCGAGGAGGTCAACGGTGAGAGTGGTGGGGCAAACTGAGAGGAAGTGGTTCCTGACTACGCGGAGAGAGTCAGGGAGCCGGGTGACTTTCTAGTAGAGGGTGATGTACATTGGGGGGGGGTTCTTGGCGCAACACTCAGCAGGAAGCACAGCGCGGTAGCGAGTGTCACTAGTGCGGAGGTGCGTAATGAGGTCAGTGACTGTGGGAAAGGCAGCAAGGTCAGGGAAGAGGTACGGTAGCATGAGGCGGCTCAATGCAGCAGTGGCAGGGGAAGAGTAGCGTGCAACTACAGCGTCGTAAAGGTCTGAGCACTCTTGTACTGGCTAAAGTGTGCACGCTCAGTGGTCGGTAATTGGCGGCGCACAGCAAGGCGACCAACAACATCGCGCGTGGCCCACTGTGAGTGAATAGTGGTGTCAGCATCAGCAGCAGGGGCAGGAGAGGCACCAGAAGTGATGTCAAACAGGGAGAGGCCGTCTGCCCTATCGCAGTGGAGAAACAGCTGGAGGTCATCGACCCAGACCTCAAAGTCAACGGCAGGGCCCTCAGCATCAAAAGTGAGGACACTGGGGGTAGCCATGACTGCAGAGGCCTAGGAGGAAGTGAGCTCACCAGTCCTAGGAAGGAGGGGTCGGGGAGCACCGGTAGGAAGAGCAGCTGCTAGACAGTAGGGCGGCTCGGTGGCTCGGCGGCTCGGCGGCAGGGTGGCTCGGCTGCAGGGCGCCTCGGGTACTGGGCGGCTTGGCGGCAAGGCGGCTCGGCTGCTGGGCGGCTCGGCTGCTCGGCGGCTCGGCTGCGGGGCGGCTCGGCTGCTGGGCGGCTCGGCTGCTCGGTAGGCGGGCGGCTCGGCTGCTGTGCTGCTCGCCGGCTCGGTCGCTGGGTGGCGGAGCGGTGATGGGGCCGCTAGGGTAGGGCGACGGGGCCGCGGGTGACGGCGACAGGGCCGTAGGTGGCGGCGACGGGGCCGCAGGTGGCGGTGGGGCTGCAGGTGGCGGCGGGGCCGCAGGTGGCGGCGCGGCCGCAGAGGGGCCGAGACAGGGCCGAAAGGGGCCTAAGCGGGGCCGAAAGGGGCCTAGCTGGGGCCGAAAGAGGCCTAGACAGGGCCGCGGAGGGGCCTAAACGGGGCCGTAAAGGGGCCAGACGGGGCCGCAGAGGGGTCGAAACGGGGCCGCAAGGGGCCAGACGGGGCCGCGGAGGGACCTAGACGGGGCCGCGGAGGGGCCTAGACGGGGCCGCGGAAGGGGCCGTAAGGGGCCTAGGCGGGGCCGTAAGGGGCCGTAAGGGGCCAGACGGGGCCGCGGAGGGGTCTAGACGGGGCCGCAAGGGGCCTAGGCGGGACCGCGGAGGGGCCGTAAGGGGCCTAGGTGGGGCCGTAAGGGGCCGTAAGGGCGGCGCGAGGGGCCGTAGAGGGCGACGCAAGGGGTCGTAGGGGGTCGTAAGGGGCGGTAAGGGCGGTGCGAGGGGCCTTAGAGGGGGGCGCGATGGGCTGTAAGGGCGGCCAAAGGGGCCACTAATGGCGGCTCGAGGGTAGGTAGGCACACGAAACGCGACTCAAGTAGGAGTGAAGCGCGCTCCGGGCAGGAAAAAATAAATCGTGGTGGGCCCTAGGCAGCATTCCCACTCGGGAACCTGCTTGATACCATGATGAGAAACGAGAATGATTGAACTATGAAAGAGTTGGGTACAAGTTCTAACCCTAATTGGGTTGTACCCCTTATGGGCTACCCCACTACAGCCTACACAAATGTATAAGCTATAATGTTCTGACAATGACTACAGTGGCCTAGCAGGAAGTGAGCTCACCAGTCCGAGGAAGGAGGGCCGGGGAGCACCGGTAGGAACAGCAGCGGCTGGACAGTAGGGCGGCTCGGCGACAGGGCGGCTCGGGTGATGGGCGGATCGGCTGCTGGGCGGCTCGGCGACAGGGCGGCTCGGCTGCTGGGTGGCTCGGCGGCAGGGCAGCTCGGCTGCTGGGCGGCTCGGCTGCTCGGCGGCTCTGCTGGTGGGCGGCTCGGCTGCTCGGCAGGTGGGCGGCTCGGGTGCTCGGCGGCTCGGTCGCTGGGTGGCTGAGCGGTGACAGGGCCGCTAGGGGAGGGCGACGGGGCCGCAGGTGACGACAACGGGGCCGTATGTGGCGGCAACGGGGCCGCAGTTGGCGGCGACGGGGCCGCAGGTGGCGGCGGGGCCGTAGGTGGCGGCTGCGTGGCCGCAGGTGGCGGCGACGGGGCCGCAGGTGGTGGCGACGGGGCCGCTGGTGGCGGCGACGGGGCTGCACGAGGCGGCGACGGGGCCGCAAGGGGCCTAGACGGGGCCGCGGAGGGGCCGTAAGGAGCCTTGACGGGGCCGTAGCGGGGCCGCAAGGGGCCTAGACGGGGCCGCGGAGGGGCCGTAAGGGGCCTAGACGGGGCCGTAGCGGGGCCGCAAGGGGCCTACACGGGGCCGCGGAGGGGCCGTAAGGGGCCTAGACGGGGCCGTAGCGGGGCCGCAAGGGGCCGTAAGGGGCCTAGACGGGGCCGTAGCGTGGTCGCAAGGGGCCGGAAAGAGCGCGGCGAGGGGCCGAAAGGGGGCGCGCGAGGGCCGTAAGGGCGACGCGAGGGGCCTTAAGGGGCCGTAAGGGCGGCGCGAGGGGCCGTAGAGGGCGGCGCGAGGGGGCGCAAGGGCGTCCAAAGGGGCCGTGAGAGGGGCCACTAAGGGCGGCTCGAAGGTAGGGAGGGCACACAGAGCGCGACTCAGGCAGGAGTGAAGCGCGCTCCGGGCAGGAAAAAAAAATGTATCGTGGTGGGCCCTAGGTAGCGTTCCCACTAGGGAACCTGCTCGATACCATGATGAGAGACGAGAATGATTGCATTGAGCACAATGAGGAGTACAAGTAGTAAACCCTAAAGTGTTGTACCCCATATGAACTGCCCCACTACAGCCTACACAGACTCTAGCATATATGCCTGACAAACCGAACAGTGGTCACAAGACCAGTCAAGCAAGAGAACAAGCAACGCAAAGCCCAGGGTGGATCTCAAGGATACCACACAATCTGAGCACAAGCAGGCGGCCACAAGGCCAGTTCACATGCAGATTTATAATAGCAAGGCAGTACACCAATCACAACCTAACAAGAGCAAACATGCAGGTATAAAGATATATAGCAGTGTACAACAAGAGCAATTCAAGAAACCAGCAGGTGAGGCAGAGTGGGCACAAGCCCAAGAGCAGTGCAGAAATGCTGATGATCACCAGCCCCAAGGGCCTTGGTGAAGACATCAGCAGTGTTGGCCCGAGAGGCCACGAAAGCAAGGCACAGCTGGCCACGGTGCTGCAGCTCACGCGCAAGAAAGTAGTGCAGAGCAATGTGCTTCGTTCTGTGCTCCAATCTCTGCTCACGATACAAAGCAAGCATTACCTTGTTGTCGACGTACAGAACTGGAGGATAATGAGTCCGCTCCCCCATGTCGGTCAGCCGGTAGGTCAGCTAGCGGAGCTCCTGTGCAGCCATGGCCCCAGCGTAGATCTCTTCCTCACAACTGGAACCAAGCACAGAAGAAGAACGAGTGGACCTCCACGAGACAGAACCAGCGCCAAGACTGAAGAAGTAGCCCTGTGACGAACGCTGAGTAGCCTGGTCGTCGGCCCAAGAAGCACCAGAGTGTCACGTGAGGACCACCAAACCCCGTCCTCCAAGCACTAGCCCCATGCCCGATGTGCTGCACAAGTAACGCAGAACCCTCTTCGCAGCATCAAAGTGCACCTTTCGGTGCCTATCGGGTGCCACGTAGCGAGCCAGAAGACTGTGAGGGTACTTGAGGTCAGGTCGTGTGCACGTCATCAGGTACATGAGGCAGCGCACAAGCTCTGGGTACGGACCACTCGGCTCTACGGACTCGTCCGAAGGTGGAGCTGAGAGCGAGTGACCGGTAGCCAGAGGAGTGGGCTCTAGCGAGGAGTACGTGGCGCTGAAGGACCTGGTGCACCATGTGTGACTAAGTGAGGGTGATGGTGCGCCGTGGTCTGTCCCGGGTGATCTGCAAGCCAAGATAGCTCCGCAGCTCACCCAGGTCTGTGCACGTGTGTCTCTCTTGCAGCTCCGACTTCACTAGGGCCAGTGCTTCAGTCTCAGCAGTAGGAAAAATCAAGTCGTCGATGTACACGAGGATGTAGAACGGCGGCCGAGTAGTGTCGGTCCGTAGAAACAGCGACGGGTCAGCAGTCGAAGGAGCAAACCCAAGAGCTGCAAGTGTCGTCCTCAGTGTGTCGTGCCACTCACGGGGCGCTTGACGAAGGCCGTCAATTGGTCGCCGTAGGCTCTACTGGGTACTCTCAGGAAACGACCTAGTGAAGCCCTGTGGACGGCGCAACCAGATGGCCTCATGAAGGCTACCTTGCAAGAAAGCTGTCGAGAAGTCGAGGGAGTGCAGCTCGTAGTCACGCTGAGCTCCAACGTGTAGCAAGACCCGAAGAGTGATCATCTTCGGGGTGGGGGAGAAGGTCTGAAAGAAGTCGGCCCCCGCACGCTGACTGAAGCCTCGAGCAACGTAACGTGCCTTGAAGGCAGGCGGAGAACCCGGCGGCCGCTTCACCCTGAAAATCCACATGCCACTGACGATGTTCGCCCCAGGTGGGGGAACCTCGTCGACGTAGGTGCCTGTGGACTTCCAGGAAGCCATCTCTGTGTCCATGGCTGTCTGCCACTGAGAGGAGTACTCACCCGAGATCGCCTCCCTGTAGGAGCGCGGGGTGGGGATGTCAAGTGCATACGGGTCTCCCTCACGGGCAAGCAGCATGGTCGCGTGATGGGGTGAAGCGGCAGCAAGGCACTCCAACTCCTCCTGTCTATCCTCAAGAACGTCACAACCAAGGGCAGTACGGCCAAGAGCAGTCTCACCCCCGACGGACGGAGGACAGGCAGGGACAGGGTCAGAGACAAGACTCGCAAGGTAGTCTAGGTGGTACACAGCAGCAAAGTTAACGAGCTCGGCTACTAGTGCACAACCGTAGCAAGAAGGCGAGTAACAATCGGACTGGACGCACGAGCAAGGTCAGACGGAGGGTCAGCAACGTCAGGAAGAGAGGACGCAGGAGGTAGCGGTAGTACATCACGCTGAGGAACAGAGGAAGGACGGAGTGTCATGTCGTGAGTGCCGGGGACACCCGGAGCACGCGGACGACGAACACGAGGAACACAAGCACAGACATCAGCTCTAGGCTCAGGCTCAAGGTCAAAGCTAGACTCAGGCTCTCGACGCTCAGGGGTGGAAGCACGAGTCTCAGGCTCCCGACGCTCAGTCAGGGACTCTGACATCGCAGTGTAAGGAGCAGGAGCAGGCAGTTGGGAGTGTGTTAGCAGCGGTGGCTGCGACTGGTCTGCTGGCGGACACGGCAACGGTGGAGTAGTACCTGCCACAGGGAAGCCAGTAGCACCTGGCGGAAGACTGAGAAGGTGGCGAAGAGCACCAGTAGCTCCCGTTCCTCCAGCACGAGCAGCTCCTCCAGTACCCCCAGCAACACCTCCAGCACCAGTAGCACCAGCACCTCCAGCACCACGAGCTCCGACAGCGCCAGCACCTCGAGCACCAGTAGTACCTCCAG